AAGTACAAAATGCAGGAAATCTTTATTTTTTTTTTAACCGTTTGATTCGAAGAAATGTATACGACCACCGAAATCCCTGTTTGTCCATTTTCAAATAAGCATTCTGCCGCACTTACGTCCCCCAATATATCGTTGGGTTGATGACTTGAGTACCCAGCTCTTTCGAGCTACAACCTCAATATTAGTAGGTATTTGAGTGACTGTAAATGATTGACTTTTGCCCTTTGTTAAGATTAAATGGTTTAAATAAAAAATAAAAATACTGGAGATTTTGGGAAAATAAAAATTTAAAACATTAAAATGCATTAAAATTGAGAAAAGAAGCTTCAAAGTCGGCAGAAAGCACCGAAAATGAAGTTAGAATTTCGATCTTGGGTGGGCGGGGCGAAACCGACCAATGAGAATGCAGCTAGGATCACGAAAAATAGTTGAAAATTAAAACAGAAAACAGCTTTTTTAAAAGCTATTATAAAATACTATCATGAATAAAAATAGTAGAGGAACATTTAAATAAAAAAAGAGATCTATCGGAATAATTTTCCAAGGAAAATTAAAGAGTAAATAGTAAAATTGAAAAAAGAAAGAATTTGGGAATCGAACCCGAAGCAAAGCATTGGGAGCGAAAGTCTGACCACTAAACCACGGGGGACTCGTTCAAAGAGGTGAAATAAGCATTTAAGATGGAGGAGGTGAAATTTAAGAAGAAAAACAATTACATGAAGAGGGGGTCTGAGAGAATATTTCTAGGTCTGTTGAAATTTGGATCAGGGATATATTTTTCAATATCCAAGATCGAGAGATTACTAGAATTATCAGTATTTGGAAAGAAGTTTGTTGCAATTTTTTTAATAAATTGTCTAATTGACAGCATTTTACTTGCGATCCTGAGATCAGTGTTCCTCATGAACCATCGAGCATTAAAGATTTGACGAAGGATGATGCTTTGGGAAGCTTCAATTTGATTAATATGGGATCTAGCTGCATGGGCCCAGATTGGAGCGGCATATGTCAGAATTGGTCGGGGATGAGTTTGTAGATAAGCAGTTTATTTTCTCTGCTCAAAGCAGAGTTTCTTGCGATTAAAGGGTAAATTTTACAGACCGATTATTTCAATTTATTTCTTATATATGTTATGTGTTGTTTGAAAGTAAGGTGATTATCTAGTATAACGCCTAGGTAAGTGTGTTGAGGCCAGGGTATTAGTAGATCGTTTATATAGATTTTGGGGAGCTTTTTAAAGTTAGAGAAGATCGCTTCAATTTTGGATGCGTTTATAGAAATTTTCCAGTCATTATACGATTCTTCCAGGAATGTCCTCCAATATCGTGACTAACGGATTTAGAGTCAAACGCTCGAGTGCTTGATGGCTACTAGAGTTGGATCCCCATGCGAGAGTAGCGAAAAGACACAGCCAAGCACTCTCATTGGTCAAATCAAGTAGAGCGCGCTTACGTCACATCCTGTTACACACATCCGTCCCTTTTCACGAAATCACTCCCAACTAATATCCAGCAACCCAGAGGAAAGACACATAAAAAAAAAATGTTAATTTAATTCCTACTTAGATCAACATAAAAATTTTTTATTTTAGCTACTTTTTATTAAATAGTTGCAATTAATATAAATATGTTTATACATATGACAGAATCACAACATTAAGTGGTAATTAATTTTTATTAATTATCATTAAAGTATCGTATTGTCATCCAAAACAATCACGTATATAAAATTTCAGTTCAACTGAATGCTTTAAAACGTTAGAAAAAAATCTTTTCAAGTTTTGACCCAAGTCGCTAAAAATGAAACCAACGTGGCAGTATCTGTAATTCTTTAAATAATTAGTTTCAGTCAAATAATTTTATTAATTATAATTACATTATCGTATTTTTACCCAAAAGAATAGTGTATAGAAAATTACAGCTCAAACGAGCGCTTTAAAATGTGAGAAAAAAACCTTTTCATGTTTTGACACAAGTCGCCAAAAGGGTCGCTAAGTCGCCAAAATGATGCCAACGTGGCTGTATTTTTAATTCTTTGAATAATTAATTTTAATCAATTAATTTTTATTAATTATAATTAAATTACTGTATTGTCATCTAAAATAATCATGTATTAAAATTTCAGCTCAATTGAGCGCTTTAAAATGTAATTTATTAAACGATTGAAAATTCCACGAAGATAAATAGAGAGTGAGCTAAGTAGTAGGAATTGAAAAAAAATAATAAGCTTATAAACCCAGCCGATATTTAATAAAATCCAGCAACAACAAAAAAATATTTAAATTATTACACTATTAATTTTCCTGTTAATGCCATTTTTTCTAGAAACTTTTTAAGTATAATTAAAATTTCAATTCAAAATCATTATTTAAAGACTATTCTATGTAAAAAAAAATTATTGCTTTTGCACAGTTTTTTCTTTCAAATATTTAAAAAATAGTAATAAAATGGAGGGGGACAATTCAAACATTTTTTTTTTAATTTAAAAGTGAAAAGAAACCGAAAGAAAAAAAGTCATCTGTTTTTTTCTTGGAGCAAGCTATATCTTAATCAATTTAGAAAACAAAACCTGAGTTAGATTTTTTCATATAAAATATTTAAAATAGCAAAAGAATAAATATTTTGAATTCCTTTAAAAGGTAAATTCAAATGAATCAGAAGTTATTCCTGTATCGAATTGAGGGATAAAAGATTAGTACTAGTTGTAGAGATTTCCTAGCCACATTTCCGATGTAGAATTTACGACTAACAAGTCATCAAAAACGTAAGCCATAAACTCTTACGCCTTAAAGAGAAAATTATGTGTAATAGGTTAGTTTAGTGCTTGACGTCAAGAGTACATACTTTTCTCGCTATGCAAATTAAACACTTTTTAAAATAATATTAAAATATGGAGGAAATAGATAGAATTGGTGATATTAAATCTAAAAATTGCATACTTTTTACTAGTGTATGATTCGCTTTGCTACCTTATATTATGAAGTACAATAGTAAAATGCTCAGTTCATATTATATTCTACAACTCCATAAAATTTTTAAAACTATTTTTAAAAATCTGGTAAAATTTTGAAATAAGGAGAGACACATTAGCAAGAGAATGTCTTCTTTTAAAAATATTTTAAAGATAACATTTTTGAGTAGATTGGGTAAATATTAAAGGAAGATGGCAAAACATACTTGCGTTTACTCAAATAAAAATGTTGAATTTATGAGGATTTAAATCTTGTCAAATCATTTCATTTACCTTTAGAAAGTGGAACGTTGGTTTAGTTTTGACGTAAGTCATCTACAGTTATACAAGGACTATCAGCTAGCAATATTGACCACAGTCAAAGACGAGGATCGCACCCTAGCACAGTGGTCTTCAATCTGTGTCTCACGGAACCCAGGGGTTCCACGTGGCTCAATAAAAAAAATCGAGGAGAAATAAATATGAATGCAATGTGGATTCACGTTCTCTATGAAGTGTGTGTAGTTACAAATATCTAAAGCTCATCTCCTATTCATTAAAACTGAAAATTGTATTCATATATAATAACTTTATTTTGCAACACTTCTTAAGCTTTTATTATAATATAATATAAGAATATTTAAACGTGCACGCTCGTTTTATCTTTATATATACTTCCTACTAGATTGTGAATATTCTATTGTTTACTAACTCGGGTTCCACAAGAATTGTGCAAAACTAAATAGTTTTCAAATGGAAAATGCACCTTTTTTTGCCATTGGAGAAAAACACCTATAATGAAGGAGAGGAAACAACATCATCTAAATTTGAGCAAGAACAGCTTCTAAAATTTAGGCTTCAAATTCATGCAAAACACACGGGATTTCTCACACAGCTTTTAACATTTTAATGCCATTCAGAACATTTTGTTTGAGTGAAATATATTTCTCAACGTAGGTGGCTACAAAAACAAATTAAACTCAAAACATGTAATACGATTGTATTTAATCTCAACTGACCTAGACTTCGACAATTCAAGTAAAAAAAAAAACATACTCCAGTTACTAAATATAATGCATGGATAGGTGACACATGAATCAGAAATTAATATTATTAATGAGCAAATTATATTTAAAAAACTAGATCAGAATTTTCTAATAATAAATGCAATACATTTTTTAATTACCTTTACATAAAATATCTATAACATGTTGATCTACTTTAAATATTGTTTTGAGCTATATTCTTCAAAGTATGTGTATGGAATGGGGTTCCACGAAAATACTTTCTGGTTCTAGGGGTTCCACAAAAGCACCATCAAATTCTAGGGGTTCCGTGAATTGGAAAACTTTGAAGACCACTGCCCTAGCAGATAACTTCACTCTTTTAAATTCCACAACAAGCTAAGAGAGAAGTTTTAACTATATATAAGCCAATTGAATTAAAAACGCATTACTCAAAAAGAATATCTCACACGGCCTTTAATGAAATCATGACCAAAATCCAAGATTTAAATTTCTTCGAATGTAAATGGCAACGATGCTTGATAGTAAGTCTACATCTTAAGAGTATAAAAATTGATTTTTTTTTTTTTTCGAATTTATTAAGATTGCAGTTCACTGATAACATGTCATCACTATATTCTTAATACAACATGATAATTTTCAATGGTCTACTCTTAATGAGACTTATGTAATAAAAATATTTTAATTTCCTTTAATTAAATATCATAATAAGCTAACGCTTGGTGCAAAAATAAAATGAAATGAACACTGCGTCCGAAGAGTAACTCTAAACAATATTAAAAAAGATTTAAGTCAATTCTTACTTAGGTCAACAAAGAAAATTTTTATTTTAGTTACTTTAAATTAAATAGCTACAATTAATATAAATATGAATATTCGTATGACAGAATCCCAATATTAAGTGACAAAATAGAAAGCGATTTTCCTTGCAATTTATTTTTTTATTACTATTTATTTATTCATTAAATTTAATTATTCTAATAAAATAGTATAGTAAAAAAGAAATCACATTCTCAGAAATTAATCCATCCCAGGTGGGATTCGAACCCACGACTTTTGGTATTAGAAGTTCAAAGCGCCATCCACTGCGCTACAGGGATACAACGAACGATTTCCTTTCTATATATGGTATTGGACTATTATTTGTGTTTGTTATTATTTATTCATTTTTTAACTTAATTAATGAATTAATATTTTAAAAAACAGTATTAACATCAAGTGTCAACAACTACAAGTTTTAAAAAAATGTATTTAAACTTGAATGGATAAACAGAAAGTTTTTCATTAACTATTGAAAATTTGAACGATATATATATATATATAGGGAGTAAACAGTAGAAATTGAATTAAAATATTTCAAAACTAAAATTAAATTCAAATATTAATTCCTTAAAACGGGAGTAGCATTGCACATTCAAAAATTTTTTATCTAAATATGACAGGTTGACAAAAAGTTCACATTTTTTACCTCCCCCACAAATAAATATTGTCTACGCATTAGTAGTGAGTTTCTGATGTGTCACATGACTCATTCAGAAAAAAATTAAACAAACATGCATGATTGGAAATTAAAATCACATTAATGAATTTAACTTACAATAAGGATCAGAAATACGTGTTCATAACTCAAAATACCTCAAACACAGAAATGTGAAGCTTATTTTCCCCCCATCAATGGTTTTGTGGATATAAAAAAATATAAGAAATAACCGGTCAAATAATCCGGTTTCTTCGCGATAGAACATATCGCAAACAACTTTCCGCCAATGTGAAAACTTTAAAAAAAAAAGTATTGCAACTTCAAAGAAAAGTGGTGGGGGCAAAATCCCACTAATGATGGGACTTGCAAAGTAAAAAAAATTATAATTCAAAATAATGTAATTAAACAGCAGTAATGAATAAACAGATTCTTTAAATTGAAAAATCTGTATAGAAATACATCGCCGATTCTTCTTTACCCAAAAATAAAAACAAACTTTCCATTATTTAATAAAAGTGCACACAAATGTTGTTCTCAAAAACGGTAACAGTAGTAAAAAAACTTTCATTTTACAATCCATTAAAAAAACGAAATTTTATAAACATAGTTTTTTTTTAATGTCTTAAGAATAGTATTCTTTTAAAAAATATCTATAAAAAAAAAATCTGAATACTATATTTAATACTACAAGTCTAAATAAAGCTTTTTAAAATATTAAAATACCTGAAAAAACTTCGTTTCTAAATACACACAACATGTTTTTAAAAAATATATATCGAAATGATATTTCACTATTTGCAAATTGAGTGAAAAATAATCAATTGATATTAATTCTAGAACATGTAAACAATTAATGGTAATAAATAATTTGTTTTCTTAAAGAGTAAAATTTTAAAGTTTTCTCAGTGTTAACAAAAAAATTAAAAACGGTTCATAAAATTTAAAGTTTATTAAAAATCATGCATTTAAAATTAGAGAATAAATAAACTCAAAGAAACTTTAAAAATGGAATTCAAAGCCGTATCAGCATTTGCAATATTTTCAAATTTCATTATTTCATCCAGTATTAATATCAATTTAAGAAATGTAGCTATTTAACAGGAGAAACATAAGCAATGGATATATGGGTATCGAAAGAGGTCATTCAAAAAACTAAAATTTACCATTTGGAAATAGTTAGATATAGTTCAAATTTCAAAATAAACGTTCTTATAATAATAAAAACTATTCTAATCATTAACTCAAAGAAAGGAAGATCGATATTCTTTTTCACATTTCGAAACAAACCCAGCAGCAACCTTTCTTTCCTTTTTATTTTACCTCTTTGCCAAAATCAAAACAAATTTTAAAAAAAGATTTCGAATTATTGGAACGTTATTCCAAATACCAGGAACAAAAAGAATTAGAAAGAAACAAAAACAAAACACGGCCTGAGAAAAAAAAAAAGGGAATATTTCATGTCACTCCGCAACGCGAAAAAGGCCCAAACGACAAAATAAAAATATATTTGTCCGAATCCGCTGGCAGCGTCTTTTTGGAAAACTAACTAATGAGAAGGCCAAAGACGGAGAAAGAAGGTAAAAGAAGGCGCCATTTTGAAATAAGCCAGCAAAGTAACGCTGAATGTGTCAATCGATGCATTTTCCGTTTGCTCCCGCAGCCGGGTTTTAAAAACAAGCTATTAAAAAAAAAGAAGGAAAGGAAATAAGCAGGCAGTAGAAGACGCCAGCAGTAATATTGCAAAGAGAGGGAAAAAGGCCGGGGTTTCATCAATTCTCTCACGCCATGATCTTCATACAGCTACAAAGGCGCAGTGGTTCGCTTCGTTTGAAGAGACGCACACACAAATATAGCTACTACTATTAAACCACCACTAGCACACAAACACATTACAACACCGGAGCAATGACCCGCCAAGTTTCTCGTATCTCTCTTCTTGAGTAATACTCATCTGAATGAGATTCTCCGTGTGGGATGAAATGCCTTGATTCTTAGATTCTTTTGTAAGATTATTATTATGCTTGCTATTGCTGAAAAAATATGAAATTTCGTTTCATTTTGTGGTTTATCGGTGATGGGTTTGAAATTGAAGTATTCAATACCAAGAAATGATGGCACAACGTTTTCTGGTAAAATTCTACTAATAATCTGAGCTAAAACACTGAGGCTGCAACAAATTCCATTTGAAAAGTAATCAAAATTTGGCATCGAGGTAATTTAAGATAATTAAAACTAATGTGGCATCAGTGTTGCACATTTAAGATACAAGGAGTGGGATCATCTTTCATCAAGGTGTGTTCAATATTAATCAACCAAGATCATTAAAAAAATTACAGCTTAAACTATTTGCTATCAAATTTTAGACTTTCAAAAATACATTGTTTGTTTCCAACACACACACAAAAATGTAACACAATATAACTAATAAGAATTAAATCTATCCTTTCCTCAATTATTTTTTATCATTACTCAAAACAAGTAAAAAAATATATATCAACTATGAACGAAAAAGCAAAATTGAAATGCCATATGTTATTGTATTTTAACTAACATTTAATAAATCAAAAAACATATATAGAAGAAATTTTCTATAAAAAAAAATCAGATAAAAATTTAATTTACATGAATTAATAATACAATAATGTAAATGCATCAATTATGTACACAAAAGATAAATTAAAAGAAACTCCAACATAAATTAAATCTAAAATGCGATTTTTAAAAAATCATTAGCTAGAGAATATTTAAATAATCCATTTAGAAAATACTTAAAAATCATAAAACCAATGTTACTAATAAAAAAAAGGAGATAAATTTATTTTTCTTAATAAAAAATACAAAAAAGTATTAGTAGCGCGAATTAAATAAAAATAAACAGATGAAATAATTAAAATTGTAAACAAAATACTGCCACTACTAAATGCGGTTATCGTATAAATAAAAAACTATTTGAAAAACGAGAAGCAGTTTAGTGCAAAATCGCGGTAGAATAACTTCGAATATTATATATATATATATATATATATATATATATCCTTTAAGGGGAAAAAAATTGCGAATTTGTCATCGTGCATAACACAACTCATAAATATATGACATATATTACACAAATAATTCTTATTTTAAGGCAATATTCTGACAGTCTCAAATTTCTCTTATAAAGCCGCCTGGGATGTTTTAAGATACTTTGCGCAGACTTTAAAACTCCATAAGTTAATTAAATTTGTAGGAATAAAAAAAAAGTGTTATAACGCACAAATTAAAAATATGCTGTAATTTTACCTAGTTAATTTTTTTTCTTTTTAAAGAAAATGTAAGAAATCTCAAGAGATTCAACAACTAATGCGTAAAAACCAAATGCAGTTGTTGAAAAAAAAAATTTTAAGAACATTTTCTCTTTTTCCCCCCTTTTGTCGATGTTTTTTCACTGTATTATTTTGAATTAATTCGCTAAAATATTTCGAAGTTTTTAAAGAACCAAAACTGTTGCCAAACAGTGAGAGTTTTAGTGAACTCGACTATATAATTAATAATTCAAAAATTAAATAAGTACAAACAAAGACAAACTAAACTAAATAGTTCTGAGACTTAGTTTTCCTGATCTATTTTCTATCGAAGAAAACGACGTTTGATACAAAAAGGAACACCAATACTACAAAAAAAAGATACAAATAAATAAATTAATTATTCAAAATGATTCCAAAAGTTTATTCAAAATTAAACTTCAATTAATTTATTCGATTTTGTAATAAATTTTAATACAAAAATTTCAATACTTAAGATTAAAATAAACTATACAATTGTTTACATAATTCAAATAAAATCTTTGCAAATAAAATAAATTAAAAAAAGAATAAATTCTGAGATTTTTTCCCTTCTTAAAATATACATAGAATTAAAACAAACACAATATTTAAGATTGCATTAATCTTTTGCGTGCCTCAAGCTTTTCAGAATCTCTTCTTTCTGCTATTTTAAAAAATAAACAAAAATTCTTAGTATTAAAAATTCATGAATCCCAAATTTCTTTAGGCTGAAGCCTATTCAGGTATTAAAGGTAATACGGCTTTATTAACATATATATTTCTTTAAATTTTTACAAAAATCTGTATATTATTAATATTGGATTTTACACATTGAAACAGTAAAAATGGCAGTAGTTTTCGAAGTATCAAAATAAGATATTTGTGGACCTTAGCATGAACGTATATTATTAAAAAAAAACGAAACTATTCTGTTTCAATTTTGGAGCCGGACGATAGCAATTAAAACACATTTTTAAATCCGTCAATAAAACTTGCACTTTTTTAAACGTAACGAAAGACGATCAAAAGGTGAGATTATCTTTACGATCAGAACGCGTCACACGTGCAATGTGAAGGTCATTCCCCTAACGTTGCGATAACTGCTCCGCTAAGTTCTTCGGTCTCCACAATTAAAACCAAGTGTAAGAAATGCACAAAACAATGAAAGCGTCTGATGAAACTTCGATCAATACGCGACTCCAGACGAGACGATTTAAAACTACTGCTACTATAACTCGAATTTTCTAGAACAGACTAAAGAAGATAAAGGCTTTAACAACACATACGCCAAAAAAAGAAGGGAGAAATAATAACC